TTGCCTTGCCGCTGCAGATGCAAATAAAAGGAAGTGTCCAATAGGTGTTACAGTAACGAAAACCATCGAACGATGTAATAAGGCAAGCTGACACTGAAGGATGCTGTCGACGTTGCTCTTTGACCCTGACGAGATTCACCAAAATACAAGTAGTTTGCTGAATAGCACACATACTATAATAAAAGAGGGGGGTGGTTGGGATTGGAGCCAAAAAACGGGTGACCTACTATTTACCAATGAGAGCCATATGAATAAACCCCTGTTGACAGCCAATGATAGCTGCATCCATCAAGAATCCAAAGGGCACAAGACTAATAGCTCGCTGAATAACCCACATGAAAGAGGGTGTTAGTAGGCATTGAAAGAAAGAATGGGTCATTATTTACCAATGACAGCCTCATCCATAGAAATCCCAATGCACCAGAAGACAAGTAGCTTGCTGAATATCCCACATACTATAGTAATAGAAGAGGAGGTTGATTGGGATTGGAGCCAAAACACGGATCATCCACTATTTACCAATGACACCCATAAGCACGAAAACATGTCGACATTCAATGACAGCTTCATCCATAGAAATCCCAATGCACCAGAAGACAAGTAGCTTGCTGAATATCCCACATACTATAATAAAAGAGGAGGTTAGCAGGCGTTGAAGAAGAGAACGGATCACTATTTACCAATGATACCCATGTATGCACGAAAACATGTCGACATTCAATGACAGCCTCATCCATGAAAATCCCAAAGAACCAGAAGACAAATAGCTTGCAGAATAGACCACATACTATAGTAAACGAAGAGGTTGGCAGGCGTTGTAGAAACGAATGGATCACTATTTACCAATGATACCCATGTATGCACGAAATCCTGCTGATATCCAAATCTAGCTGACTCTTGCAATCATTCTCTTGCTGATAAGCCCGCTACGTTGGCACCCGGGTTGTAAGCGATGGAACGATACTTGATGGGAATATACAGTGAGAAGGTCGAATAATACTTGTACCACCAAAGATAGCATACTTACACGATGCCGAAGAGCCCTTGCAATGAGCGAGAACGAACCAATGTGCTGCCCAAGACCACGTGCAAATCGAAAAATCATCAATCGAAAAGCCCAAACCAGCATCCTAGCTGCGGAAGGGAGTACACTCAGTGATATAGCCGATATGAATGAGATACCAATCCTTTTTCATTGGGTATGGAATGCAGCTTGACGATGAAGTCCTTGACGAGATGCATGAATGACCTTGGTAACACAAAAGATTTGAACGCGGGCTCTCATTGCTTGTTGATGACATGATCCATCCATAAGACACGTATAGTTGTAGAAATCCATCAAAGGAATTGCCGATAACCAGAACCACCAAGAGATAGAAAGGTTGCTGATATCAAAGATATACAAGTTGTTCCTTGCTGCTGATGTGATCAATCGATAAGAGAACTTCATTTCAGGACGCCCACCAAATTGCCGATAACGAGAAAACCAGATAATGGGATAAAGCTTGATATGGATGCTGTTACTTGTTGCTGATACAATCCACTCCTAAAAGACGTTCATTGGCTGACATTCTCCAGAGGAATCGCCCGTTGCTTGGTAACCAACCACCCGAGACGCAATAAAGGTTGACACCACCAAAGACATAAACACTTTCCCATGGCTGACATGATTCACCTATAAAAGATGCACCATAAACAATTGTCCAAACCCATCGAATAATACTTAGCAATCATAGCTGTGATCTTGTAAACTCCAAAGCACCAAAAGACAAGCAGCTCTTTACAATGGTCCCTCTAAATAATGGTAGGCGTTTCAGCAAAGGTCTCCAAAAAGCATGAGAGTCATACATACCTGAATCACGCAATCATCACCCGCAGACTTGGGAACGAAATTGGCCATCAGGATGTAAAGTAATAATAAAAGCGCACAGCCAAAGAAAGATCATAGTACCGGCACTGTCCAGTGGATCGACGCGATGAAGTGCATCAATAGAGATACCATCTTCTCTCTAAAGGCAAGGAGATCAATAGCCGTAAAACGATGGAGCCGTGCGAACAGAGGATGCATTTTTAAATCCCTGAGGCCGCAACATGAGTCGCACTGTCCCCGGGCACAACATGTAGAGCTCCACAGGAAAGTGTAGTACAATGACGTCCTTGACATGCAGCCTTGATAATAATAGCATCACCGAAAGAGGCTCTTCCACTGTATGGCGTTTGGTAAGTCCACTTGAATCCAACCAATCCCACAATGAACCTCTTACCTTGTGGTATTTCTCAATAGCATCATTGCCTCACATAAAACCGTATCTCCATGTCATCCATATTATCTTGCTGCTGTTTCACTGTAAGTCTTGTTAATTAACAGGTTTCGCTTTGTAGATCCAACACCATGCATACCATTGAGCCAACCATACAGCATTCTTGCTTTGAGACCAGTGTCTTGTTGCTGCCAGAGATACCACCATCCAACATGTTCACCTACCATAAATGCAATGTGAGATAAGAAGCAAACCCAATCCACACGCTTTTGTTGTCAGCATACCCAAAAGAGGCAATGTGAAGACGTCTTGAGAACTCTCATTGTGGACAACTCGGTAAGGAAGGCACACGACGCC